TGTTGGCATGAGGCCTGGACTCGCGGTAGGGACTACTCTGAGGATAGGGCGCCTCGCAAGCGGTCCTTTTGCACGCGAAAAGTTGGCTATGGAGTCGAAGCAAATATCCGAAGTGAGGAAGAGCCTCGGGCCTCCCAGATCGACGAGCGGCGTGAAGCTGAGGCGAGGCTCCTCGGACGCGCGACCGCCTGTTGTTATCCCGTTAAAAATTGACTACTCAGCCGACAGTCGCACAGAGGCTCGACTTCGACACCAGGGAGAAAGTAGCTAATGTAATTACAGGGAGTGCCGTGCCAAGGCTAGGGGGGCGGGGCACTTGTGAGACTTGCCCGCTGCTTCATCATTTATGGACAGAGGTGTTTGTGCAGTGCCGCTGCGTCGGCGGAAAAACGGAAAGATCTTGTTAAAAAGATCAGAAGTTCACATGCAAGGGTGGGTTTGTTGCCAGGCGGGTGGTACTGGTACTAGTAGACCGTCCCCCAATCCCCTCCCCTCCCCCTCCTCACTCACACACGCTCCATACATATTATCCTCGCGGAGAATAACCCCATTATACAGAACTTGTCACTTCGGGTGTACTTTGGAAACGCACACAGTTGCGATGGAGAAGAGCCACGCACACGGAGGATGATAGGTAACTCTAGATTGTCGCCACACCGGTCTGGTCATGATACGCTGCTCGCCACAGCACCGCCGCGCTCTCGTCGCCTCGCCACCGCCGCTCGTTCATTAGCAGAGGTCGGCGCAGTGTTATGGAAAGGGGTGGAAGGAGGGAGGGGGAAAGACCAGATGAAATCCGCTCCTGGCACGGCACTGGGGCATTCATGAATTCATGGGAGAGATCTAGAGCATGACTCGGTGTTTATTGATGTAAAGGTTGTTATTGGGATATTTAGATAAGGGTTGCCATAACTAACAGCTAGAGCTTGCGCCACGGTTTAGAGCCTGGGCATATGAAAACACACAACCTTCTGTAGAGATGCGAAAACGACCCGTGGGCGCGAGCCATGAGCACCGTAAGCAGTGTTACCAGGCACGAGCAGTTGTGAGTCGAAGTTGGTTGTATAGGGAAAGGGTGGTGGGTGTCGCAGGTGGCGGGGCGCTTAGACCGACCTGTAAAGGTGAAGGAAGAAATAAGGTCATGGATAGCCAGCTACGACGGCGTCTCACTCACCTGGAGAACGAGGAGGAGCGGAGGGTCCGTTGCTCAGAGACGCTGTGGAGTGCGTGAGGCTTTTCTCTTAGCCGGGATAAGGGCCGAAAGGGGCGAGTCTCGCGGGGAAGACGACAGAGGAAAGAGGCCGCTCAGGGAAGGGAGGGAGCCCGTGGAGTAAGAAGCAGATCAGGCTGAGAGTGGGCAGAGATCAGGTTTTGTTGTGATCCCGGTGTGGCGTGGTGTGTGTGTGCTTGTGTGAGTGAGTGCGGTGTGGAGTGACGTGTGTGTGGCCGTGGCGGGGAGCGGCGAGAGTGTGTGGCGGGGCAGAATGGCGGGACGGCGATGGCGTGTGGCTGGCTGGCCGGGTCGGGGCCGACGGGTTGCCTCAGACAGCTTGGCGCCTCCTCTCAAACGGACCAGCCATGTGCACTACACAGGTACACACACCTCGTTAATGCCATCCTCTTGCCCGTGCACACGGTGGCCCTTCCTCATGTGGGGAGGCAATTTGCACACTCGCAACACAACATTAGCGGCGGTAATGGAGCTTTGTGCATGTACAGAGCAGGTGGTGGAGGGAGCAGGGTATCGCGCTCTCCCCCACTCGTCTGCGTTAACCCGAGCTGTTAACACAGGCCACGTGACGTAACAGTCCGTCTCGCGTTACACGGTACATTCTGAACCGCAACCACTAGCGAATCGTTACAACCTCCGTTGGCACTGCCGCCGCCGTCACTACCGCGGTCTCGACGCCTTGTTGCGTGTGTCTCTTGTCAAATTTAGGTTACTTGAAGGCACATCTATGGCGCCCGCGACTCGTACGGGAACGCAAGGGGTCGGGAGGAAACTGGCTGAAAGTGGTTTGAGTACGAAGGGAGGTGTAGTTGGAGGGGGGAGTGTTGGAAGGGGGGGGTGCTGGAGGGGAAAGGAAGGGAGGGAGGGGAGCTTGAGGGGGAGGGAAGGGAGGAGGAAGCTGGAGAGGGAAAGGCAGGGGAGGGAGGGGGAGGGGAAGCGGGGAGGGGAGGGAGCACCTCGTACTTCCCTGTATAAGACGATGTGAATAGACCCCCTCTTCCCATGTAGGCCAAGGCCGAGGTGGGTCATAATTGCAGGTTGCACACTACCGCGACCTCTTCCGGCAGGCCCTCCTTTTCCTTCCATTCCTTTCCCGCCTTCCCCTTCATCCGTCTTCCATCTCCATCTGTCCTTTGTTCGCTATCAATTTGAATCTCATTTTCGTGGAGGTCGGCTCATTTCTAGGTATCGGAGTGCGATGGCGTGCGCGTGAGGGCGAGAGAGCCGACGCGCCCTGACGGCCGTGCAAGGGCTGTGTGAGGGAGGCCC